TTAACATCAGTAATGGGACCTGCAGTTGGTTGAATTTGGGGATGTGGAGCCCATGATTATGAGGGCCAGCTGCATTATTTGAGGTTTTCACAGTGCTTCTCTATGCATGTGTTACACATGTATGTTCAGTCGCTTCAGTCATGTCCAAATCTTTTGCGACCCCCAGGCTCTGCTGTCCATGGAATTTTCCAGGCCAGAATACTGGAGTTGGGTTGCCATTTCTTCCTCCAGGGAATCTTCCCAACCCAGGGATCTAACCCACCTCTCCTGCAGCTCCTGCATTGGCAGGTGGATTCTTTACCACTGGGCCACCTGGGAAGCATATTACACATATGTGTGTTCTTTAAGTAGTAATAAAAGCCATATTAAAACATATCTAATAAATATGGACAATTTAGACTCTCACTTCAAAAGGATCATCTGCTGAAGAAAGGCATCTTAAAATGCAAATCAAAACCACAATGAGGTACCGTTACACGCCAGTCAGGATGGCTGCTATCCAAAAGTCTACAAGCAATAAATGCTGGAGAGGGTGTGGAGAAAAGGGAACCCTCTTACACTGTTGGTGGGAATGCAAACCAGTACAGCCACTGTGGAGAACAGTGTGGCGATTTCTTAAAAAACTGGAAATAGAACTGCCATATGACCCAGCAATCCCACTCCTGGGCATACACATGAGGAAACTAGATCTGAGAGAGACACGTGCACCCCAATGTTCATCGCAGTACTGTTTATAATTGCCAGGACATAGAAGCACCCTAGATTCTCATCAGCAGACAAATGGATAAGGAAGCTATGGTGCATATACACAATGGAATATTACTTAGCCATTAAAAAGAATTCATTTGAATCAGTTCTAATGAGATGGATGAAACTGGAGCCCATTATACAGAGTGAAGTAAGCCAGAGAGATAAAGACCAATATAGTATACTAACGCATATATATAGAATTTAAAAAGATCTAACGATAATCCTATATGCAAAACAGAAAAAGAGACACAGATGTACAGAACAGACTTTTGGACTCTGTGGGAGAAGGCGAGGGTGGGATGTTCAGAGAGAACAGCATTGAAACAAGTATACTATCAAGGGTGAAACAGATCACCAGCCCAGGTTGGATGCATGGGACAAGTGCTCAGGGCTGGTGCACTGGGAAGACCCAAAGGGATCAGATGGGGAGAGAGACAGGAGGGGGGATTGGGATCGGAACACATGTAAATCCATGGCTGATTCATGTCAATGTATGGCAAAAACCACTACAATATTGTAAAGTAATTAGCCTCCAACTAATAAAAATAAATGAAAAAAAACTTAATCAGCTTAAAAAAAAAAAAGAAAGGTATCTTAGAAGGAGAAAAGGACCATCTGTTTTATAGAATAGAGGCTCAATTCCTCGGGGCATATCCTGTGGCAATGTATAGAATGCCACTCAGAATTGTCTCTCTGAAGGATGGAGGCTGGGTGTTTACCCACTGACTTTAGCATTAAAAAAATCTATTTATTTTTGGCTGTGCTGGGTCTTTGTTGCTGCCCAGGCTCTCTCTAGCTGTGGTCCGTGGGCTTCTCATTGTGGTAGCTTCTCTTGTTGAGGAGCACAGGCTCTAGGGTGCATGGGCTTCAGTAATTGTGGTTCCCAGCTCTAGAGCCCAGGCTGAATAGCTGTGGTGCATTAGTTGGTGGTGCATTAGCAACTATTAGGCTTAGTTGCTCCACAGCATGTGGGATCTTCCTGGACCAGGGGTTGAACCAGTCTCCTGCAGTGGCAGGCGGATTCTTTATCACTGAGCCACCAGGGAAGCCCTACCCATTGACTTTTGTCCCCTGTTGGTTGAGGGTTGTCCCCAAAGGTGTTAATTTCCTCTGTGCCTCCCTGACAGTGGGCAAGAAAGCAGGGAATGATTCTGGGGCTTGAGGTGGGAAGCTGGCAATGTGCAGGGGGACTGCCCACTGTGAGGGCAGCTGGCATCAGCCGAGGGTCCAGGGGAACATAACATAGGGCACAAAAGCATCTTCCGTAGAGAGGAGGCCCCTGGAGCCCCAGATAGGGAAGATCTCCAGAATTGGAGGAGCCCTGCTGAGGATATATCTGAAGGAAAAGAAATCATATCTTGAAGAGATATCAGCACTGCCATGTTCAGTGCAGCAGTATTCACAATTGCTAAGACATGGAAATAACCTACATATCTCTCAATGGATGAATGGATACAGATCTCTCAATGGATGAATGGATACAGAAAATGCATACATGCATACGACGCAATATTATTCAGCCACAAAAGAAAGAAGGAAATCCTGCCATTTGCAACAAACATGGATAAACCTGGAGGACATTAAGCTAAGTGAGATAATCCAGACAGAGAAAGACAAATACTGTGTAGTATCACGTGTATGTAGACTCTTAAAAAAAAAAAGACTTTCAGCTATAAAATAAATAAGTTCTGAGGATCTAATGTACAGCATGGTGACTGTACTTAGTAATACTGTATAGCTTACTTGAAATTTGCAAAAACAGTAGATCTTAAGCGTTCTTACTACACACAGGAAAAGGTCTGTGAAGGAGTGGATGTGTTAACTAACTATGGTGAACATTTCACAGTCTATGCATGTATCAAATCATCATGTTCAATAATTTAAATATACACAGTTGTTGTTTTTTGTTAGTTATACCTCAGTAAAGCTGGGGAAACAATGGGGAAAAAAGGAAGAAAAAGAAAGAATTCTTAGGGCTTCTAGGCAGGGAGCCCGTCTAATCTTAGATTTCTCCACAGCATCATCTGATGTTAGAAAACTGTCGAGCAGGACCTACAAGCTATTCCAAGACAGTAACTGAGCAGTGTTTTATATCTTGCCAAACTTTCTTTCAGGTACGAATGCAATAGAAAAATAGTTATGAACATGCAAGAACCCAGCGACTATTATCCCCATGAGTACTTCTTGAGAAAATTACGGAGTTTTAACTTCAATCAACCAAGAAATAATGAAAAACTAGGGCAAAGGGGACAGGAATATGCAGAGTATACCTAACTGAAGAACTAAGACCAAACAAATGTGAATATTGGAGTAATAGAGGAGAAGGGACATGTTTTATATCCTAACAGTACAGAAGTGACATAAATATAAAACTTTGGAAGGTGAATGAAGGAAAAGGTGAGAGAAAGAATAAACATGCTATTCATGAGTAATAACTGGGGGCCAGAGACTGTCATTTAAAGGTGACAAAATATAGTAGAAATGTAAGCATTTGTAATTGTACAAAGGCAAACATTCAAAAAGATAATACTAATGATTAAGGGGTTTCCCTGGTGGCTCAGACTGTAAACAATCTGCCTGCAATGCTGGAGACCTGGTTTCAATCCCTGAGTTGGAAAGATCCCCTGGAGGAGGGCATGGCAACGCATTCCAGTATTCTTGCCTGGAGAATCCCATGCACAGAGGAGACTGGTGGGCTACAGTCCATGGGGTCTCAAAGAGTCAGGCATGACTGAGTGACTAAGCACACAGCACAATGATTAATATTGAATAATGATCGAATGGTAGGGGATGCGGAAGAGCAAATATGCTAATTTTATGATTGTTCTTACTAGCATTTAAGAGCTGGCGTTTAAAGAACTGGACATTTAAGGGTATAGAGTCATGAAGGGTCCAATTATTAGGATTCAATTCAAAATTTCCTAAATGTGGTAAGAAATATGCACCATGAAGAAAGTAAAGGTAACTGAAAGCATAGTGAAAGAATTCAAAGATTATAAATACAGAAAATATACCATGAACTATCATGGCAGAACAAAGACTAAACATGTACGGCATCTCAAGTAATGGAACTGGGCTAAATCCACTCGGTGAGAGAAGAACACAGAACTGGGCCAGGCTCAGAACCAGAACCGGAAACTTTCGGTGGCTGGGCAGGTGGTCCCTCCCATCTGGTGTCTGGTTCAGGGCTGTTTGTTCTCTCTCCCTGCAGACTCACTCTCAGTAGACTATGGTCACTGCTGTCATCGGTAGCTGGTCTGCCATGTGCCCCTGACCTCAAGTTCATGAGCAGAACAAAGCCAGCCTTGCTGACCTGTCACAAGCTCTGGTTCCTGGGGGCAGGGTAGGGGCTGAGGGGCTATTTGGCCTCATGCAGGTCAGGGTCCTGGGTGGCCCCATCAGCTCTGGTCCAGGGTCAAGGTGCCTGGACTGCTGGAGTGTGTGTGGATGGAGATAGTTACAGGAGCCCCGAAGTACAGTGGCTTGAACAACCCTTGCTAATTCTGCCCCCATGGGCTCACGCAAGCTCCCAAGCTCCTTCCTTCTGGTGGCCCCTCGGTGCCCACGAATCAGAATCACCTGGAAAACAAGTTTCCAGGTGGTGCTGACACTGCTGGTCCCAAGACCACGTGTTGAAAAACGACTGCCCCAGGATATGTCCTTTGCCAACCGTCCAGAGCTGACTCGGCCACACGTGGGCCCAGGGAGGCGAGCTGGGGCAGCCAACCTCCTTTTGAACAGATGGGGCAAGTAAAAGTGGCTGCTTCAGGCCCTGGGCAAGGACTTAGTCCCAGGGTCACACTTGGCTGACAGGGAGGCCAGGCAAGGCCATCTGCAGCCGGGTGGCTGTGTGCCCTGGAAAGGGAAGGGCATGTTTGTGGGAGACACTGTAGGTCCACTAAGCGGGAAGACAGGGGCCAGCCCTCAGTGTGGGAAACAGATGGGGAAAGGCTCTTATGGTGTTCGGAGATCTGAGTCATAACAGCAGTCTACTCAGTGGGGAGAAGCCTGGTCTCCCTGCAGGCCTGTCCTGGGAGACAGAGCAGGCTGAGAGCGGAAGCAGGAGCATGGCTGCCCGCTCGTGTTTTGAGGACAGCTGGGTGTCACGCCCCCCGCCCCCCAGCCCAGGCTTCACTCTCTTCCCTGCTTGTTCACCCAAGATGTTCCTTCATTCACTGTCCCGTTATTTTGTGGGTCAGGGCTGATGTTTTCGAGGTCCTAAGCTTTTTTCTTCTACCCCCGTCCCCCAGGCATCTTGGCTCTGGAGAAAGCTGCGTGGCAAGAGGCGGCTGGCGATGGCATTCTGCCTCTTAACGACTCTGTCTGTGGTGACTGTCACCCGCTTGCCCCCACAGCGCCCAGCCACTGGCCCAGACCCTGGCCCCATGGAGCCCCAGGGGGTTGCTGACGTCCCTGCCCCCCAGAGTCGGCAGGCTCTGAGCTCCAGCTGGAGGCAGCGGGCAAGAAGGTTGAGGAGAAGCTGGGCCTTGCCCGGGAGCTCCATCCTGGTGTGTGCGGAGGAGCAACACCACAGAGGGCATGTGGACAGCAGCAGACGGTCCCCAGGGAAGGAGAGCAGCCATCCAGGGACGATTGGTAATGACATTACTTTGGTACCTGCAGAAGACCTGAGACTCAGTACCCGGCGTCTTGTGCTCCTGCAGGGGGAGGCGGTCAGGGGTCCAGGAGCCAAAGAACTGGACCCACCCTGGCACCATGGTCCCCTCCCGGAGGCACCGAGTAAGACAAGCATCCCAGGTGGCCCCCTCACAGAGCGTGACATGTCAGCCTTACAGACTCGGACAGCTACTGCTGGACTGACCCTCCAGCCCTCTCCAGAAGGCGGGAGTCTGCCAGGAGTCCAGAACAGAGCCTGGACTGGTGGCCAACAAGTGGGGGGTCCTGCCCCCACCAAAGAGGCTCACTGGTGGCCTGGCTCTGCTGGGGAGCTGCAAGGATCTGTCTGGTGTGACACTGAGACTCCCGGGCTGTCCAGTGGCTTCAGGACCGGTGAGCAGGTCCCCCCGTGGCTCACAGAGCAGGATGTGCAGACCCTCCAGCTTCTGGCCCAGGGGGAGGTGGTGGGCAAAGCCCGGGTGCCCGGCCATGGGCAAGTGCTGCTAGTCGGTTTCTCCAGCGAGGGGGCCCTTCAGGATGCAGCTCCTGGGCTCAGCCAGCTCTGCTCCCAGGGGCTCTGTGGCTTGATCAAGAGGCCTGGGGACCTATCCGAGGTCCTGTCTTTCCACGTAGACCGCGTGCTGGGGCTGCGCCGGAGCCTGCCCGCGGTGGCCAGGCGCTTCCACAGCCCCTTGCTGCCCTACCGCTACACGGACGGCGGCGCCCGGCCAGTCATCTGGTGGGAGCCCGACGTGCAGCACCTGGGTGACCCGGAGGACGACCAGAACTCTCTGGCCTTGGGCTGGCTGCAGTACCAGGCCCTGCTGGCACGTGGCTGTGGCCGACCCAGCCATGCCCCATGCCTGGGCATCCACCACGGCGAGTGGTCACGCCTGGCGCTCTTCGACTTCCTGCTGCAGGTAGGCGGGGCCTGGAGGGGCGGGGCGGGGCCTAGAGGGGCGGGGGCGGGGCGGAGCGGAGCCGAGGACTCTCGGTGAACTGAGACACTGGAATGGCCTGCGTGAGGGTGGATAGTGACTCTCCCCCTAACCCTTGTCTTTTGCTTTTGTTTGTTTGTTTGCTTTTCTACCATTTTTTTTAACGCTTAACTTTTTATTGTAGTCCTTGTCTTTTGACCACCCAGCACCCATTTTTTGTTATTTTTCTGCCTTGTGTTCATTCATCCAGTGGTGTGCTGAAAACCAGTTCATATGGGCTCATTCTTGAATTTCAGGAATTTTATGACCCGTTTGTGAAACACAGACGTTATTAAAATTGAAGTTATACTAACTATAATAAGTTATATTAGAAACAAAGGTAATAAATACTCTGAACTCATTACTTCACAATTATTTTACATTTTACTCTTGTCTGAGCTCTTGAGGTTCTTTGCACCTACCTAGTAAATACTGTATAGTGTTGAGTTACTGCATGTCTCTTGCTGACTCCACATTCGTGCCTGTTGGTAGCTTGAAACAGGCCAGGATAGGAGTATTTATGGGGCTTCTCAGGTGATGCTAGTGGTAAAGAACCTGCTTGCCCATGGAGGAGTCATAAGAGACACAAGTTCAATCCCTGAGCTGGGAAGATCCCCGGAGGAAGGCAGGCAACCCATTCCACTATTCTCTCCTGGAGAATCCCATGGACAGAGGAGCCTGGCAGGCTGTAGTCGACAGGGTCACACAGAGTTGGACATGACTGAAGCGACTTAGCACGCGTGTAGGCAGGAGTATTTATACCTTGAGAATGAGGGAATTCTATAATCAGGACACCTCCCTATTCCCGGAGAGCTGGTAGTTAAACATTTATCCTTGAATCAAGAAGGATTCAAGCTGGTTGCATAATTCAAAAAAGAGAGTCGAGGTGGAGGAGAGAGAGAATGAGAGAGGGGAGAAATAAAGGGATGATGCTGAACCTACTTGGACCCTGGAGAGAGAAGGAAACCACAGGGCCAGCTGAGGTCCCTGCTGTGCCAGAAATTAACCCTGGAGTTTTGGGGAGTTTTGGGAAGGGGTTGGGCAGTTAGGGCACAGGGCTTACCAGGGGGACTGCAGACATCAGATATTTACTGAGTGGCCTGTTGACAACTGATGTGGCTGCTCCGAGACTTATGAGCTGGATGTCAGCTGTGGAGACACGAGTGGGGGAATGAGGCCAGAAAGAAAGAAAAACAAAAAATAATTCAAGCACACAGTGGGTGGATATGTATGCACACAAAGGCAGTCCCATTCCTGTAGGGATCTCTGTTGAGGGAAGAGATCAATACTAGCCCTAAATTTACCTGCTGGGGTGACTGGGTCAAGTTCAACATCATAACCAGGTAGCCAGGGGCTGATGCTCCCTGTGTGGTCCATACAGGGTTGGTTGGAAATGTATTTCAGAAGATTCTCAGACCACATTTAATACTTTGAGATTTCTCATGAAAATTCCACTTCCTCTGAAACACTGGATGGTTTGATAACATGGGGCCTCTGTTCCCACACAGCAGAAATGAGCCTGAGCTGAGTAACTGCTGCCCCTTTAAAGGCTGCCAGGTTCCCCTTTCTGCCAAAGACCACACCTCCTCTTGTCTGATGTGACTGTGTGCATTCTCAGTCACTAAGTCCTGTCTGACTCTTTTTGACTCCACGGACTGTTGTAGCCTGCCAGACTCTGTCCATGGGATTTCCCAGGCAAGAATACTGGAGTGGGTTGTCATTTCCTCCTCCAGGGCGTCTTCCAGACCCAGGGTCTTGAACCCCTGTCCTAGAACCCAGGGTTCTACCCCGTGTCTCCTGCATCTCCTGCATTGCAGACACTCTTTACTACTGAGCCACCTGGGAAGCCCTGTTGTCTGACACCCACCCCCAAACCCTTGGATGTTATCTGTCTGCCTGTGGGTAATTGTCTCTTGTCACTGGACCAGCTGGCCTCCCGCAATACTTCCAGCTCCTTGAGTCTGTGTCTTGTGGCTGCTTTGTGGAGGGAGGATCGTGGGGCCTGGTGGTTGGCACGGGCTTTGGCACCAGACATATCTGGGTTTGAATCCCCTGCCCACTGGCCATGTCCCACCCGTGTGATCCTGAGCAGACTAGCTGGCCTCTTTGAACTTCACTTCTCTCTAAATGGGACCGGGTGTCCCTGCCTTCTGCCCTTGAGGACGTGGTAGCTCTTAATCACCCGCTCCTGTGTGTAGGCTTGCTCTGGGCCCCAAGCCTGCTCTGCCCGTGTGTGAAAGGCTGAGGGCTAGGGATTAGTGTCCTCCAGACAGCGTGACCTTTCCTCCTGCCTGGGAGAAGGCATTTCTGAGACCACAGTCTTGGGCAAACTGGAAGAGCTGGCCACGCTCCCTCCAGGAACAGCCGTCCTATGACTGATGGGAGGTAGTCTGTAAAAGCCCCAGTTCCCTGGCTGGGGTGGCTCTGTGGTGCGTGTTCCATGTGTCTCTCAGAGCCCCCTACCAGGATTGAGCCATGGTTGCCCACAGAGCTCATTGCCAGCCCTCGCTATCTCCCTTCCCCAATCCTTGCTTGTTTTTGAATTAGCTCACGATCAATTGCTTTCGCTCTGAGTTCTTGGCTGCGTTCTGTCTCTGGGGGAGCCTGGCCTCCATCAGATGACACCTCTGACCCTGTGTGGTTTCTGCATGCAGGATCATCCACGTAATATACTTAATACAGCGCCTGGCAGTGGCCCAACCTCAGTAATGCACTGCCCCCAACACTTTACAGGAATTAACTCCTCCAGTCCTCATGGTAGCCTTGCTAGAGAGATAAGAGGCTTCTCCCTGTTTTGAAGTTGGACAGTTGAGGTCTCAAGTGGTTAAGTGACTTGGCTAAGTTGATGGCCAGTGGAGCTGAGACACAGCCTGGATGGTCTGGCTCCAGAGCTCACCCTCCTTCTCACACAGTCCTCTTCAGCCGGCCATGGGTGAGGGCAGGAAAAGGGGGTGCTGGTTGGGACATCCGGGACTTTGAGCCCTGAGGACCCTCCTTGTGGCCCCCCATCCAGCTGATATGCACGCAGCCACTTTCTGCCCACACAGAGCCCCTCTGTCTGTCTTCGGAGGTTGCGGTGTGAAGCCCTTCCTCAGCTGCCAAGCCCAGCCACGGAGGTGGACAGTTCAGCCGCCAGAGCACACACAGGTGGGCGTGTGGTCAGACGCCACTCAGCTGGCCTCGGGCCATGTCTTCCTGGGTTTGCCGAACACCAGGCGAGTCAAACACCCCTGGCTGGCAGATGCTGCCTTCCTAGAAACCACGGGCAGGCTGGAGTGAGGAGGGGCTGTGGGTTTCCCAGCCCAGGAACCCAGGTCCCTACTGAGCAGAAGCCAGGAACAACCTGAGGGCAGTCGTGCCTGGACTCAAGAGGGCCGTCTGCCCAGAGAGTGGGAAGGGCATGTGGGGTCATGGGGACAGGAATGGGCGCATTTGTACCTTTTCCTTCTAGAGAGGCTTCTTTTTTCTCATGTCCTGCTTCGTCTTGGAGGGCACGTGCTTGACTGCATGGGGTGAGCAGCTGCGGAGAATTCGAGACAGTGAGAGGGTGGTGTTTGCTCATGGAAGTCATCCTGCTGCCTCCGCTGATGCAGGGCCTTCACGTTCCGGAAAACCCAGACCCCAGAAAGCCTCAGGTGCCGCCATCCTGGTGCGGGCCACCATCTTTTCTTACCTGGACTCTGCTTCCCTAACATCTCCCTAACGTCTCCATTTTGTCCCCTCCAACCGGATCTCCTTACAGAAGCTGGAGTGATATCTTGGTTTCCGTTCCCCCAGGCAGACCCTGAGACCAGGGTCCAGTGTGGTAGTTCCTCTGGGAGGGGACCCCAGGAAACACTCATAGGGAAGAGGAAAGTGAGACGGCTGGAAGGCGGCCAGCAGAGGGCGGACAGGGCACCCCTATGGGTGCCTGGGGCTTGATCCACAGGAAAATTCTGAGAAATGGTATAAAAGACACGTTCAGAGTTAGCCCACCAAAAGCGAGGGACATGAGGTATTGATAGCCAAATTTCCCCTTGGTCTTTGGTTGAGGGCTGCTCCTGGAGGTGTTAATTCCATGGCATTTGGAGAAAGCCCCCGGGCAGAGCCTATAGGATCTGGAAGTTAGAGGGAGAACTCAGAAGTTCACATACAACTGGTCAGGCAGAGAGCATAATAAATCAGACTGTGGCCCTTCTCCATTACAATATGGCAAAGTATCTCAATGCCCTTGATATCAGGAGCTTCAGGGACCCATGAGATCCATCCTTGTCTGCTGTCTTCAGCCCCGCCTCTTGGCATGTGGCCTTGGTTAGTTTCTTCAGGTGCAGGGCCTCAGACAAGCCTCTCATTCTTCTCCCCAGACCTCCACTCTCCCAACCTCCACATTCCGTTGTTATCCTCTTTCTATTTCGTGCTATCCTGTCTATATTTTTTCTGACTCCCCAACACAGTAAGTTTTATTGGTTTACTTCTGTCTCTCTGTTTTGTTCACATCTGCAGTGCCTAGTACAGGGCCAAGCTCTTGGTTAGATCCTAGAGAAGCACCTTTTGAACAAGTGGGTGAAAGGATGAACAAATGAATGAAGGAATCCAGGGTCTCTGTATGATTTCCTATCTAGGTGCTGCTGTGTTCTGCTTGCTCAAATACCACTCCTTCCTCTAGACTGAAAAGAATCCCAAAGCCACCTCCTTTTCTTTTCAGGTCCCATAGATATAGAGGTGGAAAACTATGTGACAATCATTTGTCCAGCCCTTGTATGGGCATGTAATTAACTCATGCTTCCAGAACAGATGATGGCATATAACATCACCTGTCATCCTCCGCATCAGGCACTGTGCCAGCACTTCACATGTGTTGATGTGTGACAGCCCTGGGAATGGACAGTAACAGTATCTTTTAGCTCCATTCCACAGATGAGGAAACAGGTTTAGAAGGGCTAAGGAACTTGCCCACAGTAACC